AAAATCTATCTCAGCCTACTCTTTTCATGAGCAAAATTATTTTTTTCCAAAAAAACTTCAACGTCTTGTACCAACTCAACGAGACGATTTTGGATATAGGTAAGTTGGCCTAAATCAACTTGTTTTTATCTCAGGAGTCCACAGCCGAGCCATGTCACTACCTTTTACAGACACCCTGTATATATTTCCTTATCCAAAACATGAAAAAATGGCACCTACTGATTTATCTTATCAATAAACAAAGTTTGAAAACCGGATTGCATTCAAGATAGAATTGTGAATTAAGTATTGCAAAAGATAATTCGGGAATATTGGAATTGAATAGATTACAAAACCACTTTATCGATATAGCAATACAAATTAGATTATAAAGTAGAAAAATGCAAAGACAACTACCAACACAGATATCTACTATCAGAATTTAATAAATATTTTATTGTTTTATTTGAATCATGTGGCAGTTTTTTTGCCAAACAGATTTGCCTTGCGACACTAAATCTTGATTACAATGATTTTGGTATTAGAAGTGATTATGGGCGGTTGGCCAGACAGGGACAAATATTTACAGCGTGAAGTCAAATCATGAAAATCATCCATATCTCAAAGTGGTCCAATAAAATTTCAAAAGAAAAACAAAAGACTCAAAGTCAGTCGACCACACATTTATATAATACTATATCGTCAAATACATGTTACCGGTTTCGGCACAACGGCCATCATCAGACAAAAAGTACCTGTAAATATAAAATAGATAAAAACAGTATGAAGAAGGAAGGAATACAAAACCTACCGACAAAATTATGGGCAATAACATTATTAAAAATTAAGTTGAGAAAATCAAAATCATGTTGTATGGCAGGAGATTCGTCACCGGGTTATCAGGCTCAGACACAAATGACTAATTTTTTAAATTTACTGAAGAGCCAGAAAAAACTGGCTCTGATAAGGTTGAACATCTTATCCGAAAAATTGTTTTTTATAAATTTGAAACATGCTAAGCTAAAAGCAATAGCAGAATAAGACAAATTTGATGGTCAACACAAACTGAAGTCGTTCACTCCTCGGAGCATAGTATCTAAGCAATTCGGTTTCAATTTTTATTTGGAACGCACGAAAGAGAATCTCTGTAATCATCGTGCGTGCCTTGTGATGATAGGGAAAGGAGCTAGGTAATGGATTTTTTGAAAACTCTTGGAGATTATATGTGCTTGGGAATACTTCCATTGGCAAATAATTCCAAAGTTTTGCCGTTCTATAGACACGAATTCCGAAAAAGTGTTGTTCAACTTGAAGGTTGACAATGAAAGGATGACGTTGATTTCATCAAGTCATGAACGATGAGACATGTTCTTTTTTACACCACATTTTCATCATTGATGGAAGTGACGTCACTCTCTGATGCATCGAATTGTTGGAGTCATCAGTGTTGAAAAAAAACGCAAGTTATTTGACATGACAATCACAACTGTGTTTCCTTTATTTATCTTTCTTTTCGTGATTTGATGAAGATTTAGATTGTTTTCAATTAGAAGCTCAGAATTGGCGAAAACTAATGGAAAATGGAAAATGATGTATTAAAAGTGTTATTGGAGTCCTTGTCTTCAGATCCAAAAGTTCTAGCAGTTCTTCTGAGGATGCAATATTGTTTATGTTCGAAAAGATCATCACCATCGAAACCCTGGTTCAACAAAAACTGTTCTAGAGCTGTTGCCTTGAAACCCTAACCTCGCGACTAGAGCAGAATACGTCGATGCCAGAAATAACTGCAGCCAAACAATAGATGCTTCGAAAGAAACATACAATGCCAAGATAAGATCGAAACTCATAGATTGTCCCAATGGCTCCCGTTCGTTTTGGTCCCTTGCTAAAGCGGTCGGAAGAAATTTCACTAATAGTTCATTTCCACCACTGTCCAAATCCGACGGCACATTAGCAACAACATCGCAGGAGAAAGCAAATATTTTTGCAGAGATTTTCGCAGCAAACTCTACTTTAGATTACCAAGAAAAAGTGCCGCCAAACATTCCACCCGTTCCGTCAACGCACTATCAGACGAATTTTGCTTAATCTCAAAACGAATAAGGCTAACGGTCCTGATGGAATTCCACCCATTATCCTCAAAAAATGTGCACCAGAATTAACACCGATTCTCTGCAAGTTGTTCACCGTCTCGTACAGGTCGGGTATTTTTCCATCATGCTGGAAGACAGCTAGAGTCCAACCAATCCCCAAAAAAGGGAACAAGAACCTGCTCAACAACTACAGGCCCATTGCCCTGTTATCAGTAATCTCCAAAGTGATGGAGAAAGCCATCAATATTGAGCTTATCAAATATCTGGAGAGCTCGGGAATCATCAATGATAGACAATACGGCTTTTGCCACCGAAGATCTACTGGAGATCTACTTGCCTACGTCACCCATTTATGGCAAGCTGCATTAGAAAAACACGGGGAATCTCTAGCTGTCGCGTTGGACATATCGAAAGTCGAAAGCATTTGACCGGGTTTGGCACGAAGGACTCCTCCACAAACTACCATCATACGGCTTACCACCTCAGCTATGCCATCTCTTATCGAGTTTTTTTTCAGGCAGATCGCTTCATGTGGTGGTGGACGGTGTATCGTCTGATACAATTGGCATTAATTCCGGCGTTCCACAAGGATCAATTTTGGCACCAACATTATTCCTTCTTCATATCAATGATCTGTTGGGAGTAACAACTTGCCCCATCCACAGCTTTGCAGATGATAGTACCCTCCATATTGCGTTCTCTTCCAGAATTCCCATTTCTTCCCAGGAAACTAAGAACTCACGGCGCAGGCAGGTCAATGCTGTCAATGAAGACCTTGCTGAAATCACAGCCTGGGGAACCAACAACCTAGTTGAATTCAACGCCACCAAAACTCAAGCCTGTATTTTCTCTAGAAAGGCGGAACTCAGTATGCCCGACATTGTAATGTCACACACACATTTTTGTTCGCTGTTCAGAAATGAGTGAACAAAATTCAGTGAAATTTTACTAAGGGTGGTATTATGGTTAGCTCTCCATTTGTGACATTATCAGCTACAAACATGCATGCAGTTATCACCATATGATTTTCTCAATTCTCAGCAAACCCGCAGGAATTTTTCAACACAATTCTGTATTCCCCAAAGGGAATTCATGTAAAGAAACCACAGACGAAACCATGTCTGTACACTACACCTCTTTCAATTTTATTTCAAAAATGGTCAATTGTATTTCCAAATTGTCATTTGGATTTCAAAAAGCATCAATTGTATTTCAAATTAGTGAATTTAATTTCGAAAAGTATCATATGTATCTCAAAATAATCTATTCAAATTCAAAATGCGTCAATTGTATTTCAAATTAGTCATTTTAATTTCAGAAACAATCAATTATATTTAACTTCAAATTCCAAAATGGTCATTTGAATTTCAAAAAATATAAAATGTATTTCATAATGCATCATTTGAATTTCGAATCTGAAAAAGCACAGGCAAAGGTTTGGCGTTAGGTGATATTTTCATTCACTATGTTATTGGAACGCTTCTGGCTTCGAGTTCCTGTCATTGTGGCATCATCAATAGAAATGGTTAGTTTTGAAATTGATATGATTGATTCAGAAATTGAAATGGAATTTTTTGAAATTAAAATGACTAATTTGAAATACAATTAATACTTTTTGAAATTGAAATGACTAATTTGAAATACAAATGACACATTTTGAGATTGAAATGATAATTTTCAAATTCTTTTGACACTTTTTCAAATTCAAATGACTTATCTATACCAATAATATAAAGAAGAAAGATTTGATTGTTTGATTGTTTGTTTGTTTGTTTGTATGTATTGAATAGGTTCCGAAACTTCTGGATCGGTTTGGCTGAAAATTGGTGGGGAGGTAGCTTAGAACCAGGAGTAGATTATAAGATACTTTTTATCCCGGTACCATAAGGAAATTCAAAATGGCGGGCGAGTTTTGTAATTATGGTCCGATTCTATTCAATATTGGTATCTAAGGGTTTTCGGGGTCGGAGATTATGATTCTTTCGTCAGAATTTGAAAATTCGGTCGGAATTTGGAAATTAAAGATGGCGGAACCAATATGGTGGACGAGTTTTGTAATTATAATCCGATTCTTTTCAAGATTGGTACCTAGGGGTTTTCATGATTGGGGATTATGATTCCTTCGTCAAAATTGAGAAATTCAAGAGGGCGGATCCAAAATGGCGGATTTTGCAATTAGGATCCGATTTCATTTAAATTTGGTATCTGGAGATTCTCGGGGTCGGATATTATGATTATTTCGTCAAAATTCAAGATGGCGGACCCAATATGGCGGACGAGTATTGTAATTATGATCCGACTCTCTTTAAAATTGTTATCTGGCTGTTTTCGGGGTCGGAGATTATGATTCTTTTGGCAAAATTTGGTAAGGGAGGGATTTGGAAATTCAAGACGATGGAACCAATATACCGGACGAGTTTTGTAATTATATACCGATTCTATTCAAAATTTGTAAGTGGGCGTTTTCGGGATCATAAATTATGATTCCTTCGTCAAAATTAGGGAATTCAAGATGGTAGATCCAATATTGCGGACGAGTTTTGCAATTGTTCCGATTCTATTCAAAATTTTCATCTTTGGTTTTAGGAGTCGCATATTATGATTCTTTTGTCAAAATTGGGAAATTCACGTGAACTAGAAAGAAGTTGAAATAAATGGTAGTTCGCGAGGTCTGCTAGTTTGAAATACAATTGATACTTCTTGAAATTAACTTGACGCTTTTTGAACTAAAATTGAAAAAGGTGTAGTAAGAGTACAAAGAAACTGAAAAATAGGTACTGGATTCAACTCTCACTGGTTGTTCTGACAATACTGAATTGATTGATTTGTTGACCACCTTCAGAAAGATTCTAAGATTTGAAGTTCGACACCAGAGGCCACACACATTGTGATTCTCGCGATAAGAAAAAAGTCAGTGTAGATACTTACCACAATAAAATCCCATCTTTGACTCTGTCATAAAGATTTTTGCCTTCCGAATCGATTGGCAACAACTTCTTCAAGTCAGGGTCATGTTGCAGATTTGAATTGATCCAATCCGAGAAGGCCAGCTGTTCTTCGACTCTCACCGAATGCGTTGTGCCTTCGTTAGAAGCTTCCGACGTGCCTCCCAGATGCTGCAGATTCTCCCTTTTGGACACTGCCGTTCGGAATGTATTTGCTATGTCATTAGCCTTGAGATCACAGATAAGTTTTTCGAATTCTTCGAATGTCAGTTTGCCGGTGATTTTGGTTTTGTTCGAACTTTTGAATTCTTCCTCGATGAGCCGGGATTGGTAACCGGCTATTTTGAACCCACATGATTCTAGTGCTTCTCTCAGTTCCCTCAGGTCGATGTGGCCATCTCCGTTTCGATCGATCTGGAAATAATAATTACAAATCAGCGTTTCTATTGCAATATTGAATGACGGTTCATTTTCTCAATAAAACTATACATACAACATGGTTCAAATGGAAGGAACAATACAAATTTTCATTATTTCGATTTTTATCTCCCATACGAGGGTTCTGCCAGATTTTCGTTTTATTAGTAATGTCATCTGTGTCAGCGTGATGACGTCATCGATGATTTTGCCAACGTGGATTATGTGACACCTCTTTTTAAAGATATTTCAATAAAGACAATGGGGTCGTACACACTAGTCAAATTTACGCCACTTAGGTGCAAATTCTAGTTTAATGAAACAAGTTGTGAACTGTAAGTTTTATGATTGTAATACTATTTTCATGTTTTTCTATTCAATTATTTGATAAATAAATAAATATCGATATTTCCAAGTACAATATTCAATACAATTATTCATTATTTAAAATCATCAGGAATACTGATGACTACTAATTGAAGTCGGCACCTTTCAAAAACGCTAGCTAGCCCTTGATATCGTTATAAATCGACAAGCACTATATCTCTCATATTTCCCAACAACCTTTAAGAGCATAACCACATACCAATAATTCACTTCCAACGTAGGGATGACGAATGTACGGAGATATACACATTTCGCGATAGACTCATTCAACGTACTATAAGGGAGATTTTATTGGGTCTCAACACCAACAAAGCTTGTGGCTCCGACGGAATCCCACCGATTGTTCTCAAGAAACTACTCTTACAAATTGGGGATATCTCCGTCCAACTGGAAAATTACAAGAGTACAACCAGTTCCTAAAAAAGGCAAAAAGACCCTACCTAGCAACTACAGACCGATCGCACTGCTATCTATCATTTCAAAGATCATGGAGAAAGCTATCAACATCGAGCTCATGAAATTCCGTCATCAGAGATTAACTGGTGACCTGCTCGCTTACGTCTCACATATATGTGAGCAATCTATTGAAAAATATGGTGAAACCTTAGCCGTGGCACTTGATATCTCCAAGGCATTCGATCGAGTCTGGCACCACGGACTCCTCGCCAAGCTTCCATCTTATGGCTTGCCTCCCCAGCTATGTTCTCTGCTAGTTAGTTTTCTCTCAAACAGGTCTCTCCATGTAGTGGTCGACGGAGTTTCATCTGACTCTCTTACCATAAATGCTGGTGTTCCGCAAGGATCAATTCTAGCATCAACACTATTTCTACTCCATATCAACGATTTGTTGGAAGCAACTTCATGTCCAGTACACAGCTTCGCGGACGATAGTACCCTCCATACCGCCTCCTCTTCCAGGGCTCCAATACCAGCCAGGCAAATCAGAAACAAACGAGGGAGAAATGTTGACAACATAAATATGAACTTGGCAACAATTCCCAAATGAGGATCCAATAATTTGGTAGATTTCAATGCAAACAAAACACAAGCATGCCTTTTCTCTAGAAAAGCCGATCTCACTGTGCCAAACATGTCAGGACTAACCATACCTTTGAAGACATTTTAACTGCAGAGTAATTTGCTAAAGAACTAGAAATTAAACCTAAGCCTGGATCTAGGCTGTGTGCCACATTGAGAATTCAATTTTTTGAGTGTCAAGCTGGTGAAATTGCCCGCGACGTGCCTATAACTTCTACAGAAAAAAATTTAGGTTTAATTTTTCATTAATTTCAGTTAATGAAAGATTTGAAGTTAAATGAGTACAACAAATCTTGGTATTTTTGTATAATATAAAACAGATTGCGAAAAAACCCGACCTTTGACAAGGTATATGTTGTGTGATGAACTCACCTAATCAGAATTTGGTTACTCCTGCATATGTCTTGAATTTTATCAAAGATCACAACTAAGAAGAACTTTATCCAAATGTATGAATGGCATTGCGAATATCATTGACTATATATATACCTGTAATAGTTGTTAATGGGGAGATGATTTTTTCTGAGCCTAAGCTGATAAAAACTTATCTGCGATCGACATAATATCTCAATCTAGATTGACAAACTTGGCAGCTTTGTCAATCGAAAATGAAATTGCTTCTTTTTTTTTGCCTCCTGTGGAATTGAATGGCAGCACTGAGTGTATGGTGTATGTTGTCAAGGTCAACTTTACATATTCCCATGTTATGAAATATCGTGGATTGTGGATTTCAATAATTATCTCGAACATGTAAGGTGCTCTATGAAGAATCGATTTGTGACAGTGAACTAGTTGGGGAAACTTTTCTCGTGAACTCAGAAAGGCATACACAACAATATGGAACACTATTTCGATGGTGACTTTTTTGCAAGGTCAACGCGCTGATTTGGAAGATGCCCAACCACCTGACTACAAGATCAGATCAGAAATTCGACTTTCCTGCCATCGTGCTGATTGTTTCAATATACAATCTGTGAACCTGGTCTGGTGGATCTGAAATATGAATTCATACGGATATATACATCAGTGTGTCCACCTAAAGGACTAACCACCCCTATTAAATCGTTATGATCAGATCGCTTTCGAAAAACTTTTTTTTGTTTGATAGGTATTTGAAATCTCCACCCGACAAGATAGTTTCATAAAAATCGAGTTCTAGACCCCTTGGTCAGTTTTTCTCTAGCTGTTCTGGATATAGGAAAAACTACCAAGATCAAGCAATTTGGCACACCTGTACGATCCAAAATGGCAATTAAAAATGTTACGTTTCACTTCATCGGAGAATTCATAACTGATTTGACTGTTACACATAAGATAATAGGTCAAGAGAATCGAGATGTCATTCGCAGGTGAACCTATACCGAAACAATAACTAACTAAACCATGGTTTCATGGAGCGTGCGCATTCAGGACCTGACATAATATATCTTACTCACTCTTACTTATGTTTCCGAACACCAAGAGACGTACGTACATGACTTGATGTCATGAATGACAGTCTGGAAGTTCCTGGGCATTGTCAGCGTTTTCAGGCGAGCAATTTGAACAAGAATTTCGGTATGACATAAATAAATCGGTCTAGATAGTAAGTTATGTCAGTGGGTGAACCTTATTAATTTTGATGAGAAGTAGCAGATTCATCATTATAATACAGAATCACGCATTGCTATTGGGTGATATCACCAAATTGTCAGATTTTGATATATACAGATAATAATCATCAATCTACATTACCACGCCACGAACAAATATATACAAAAACTCTCCTGTTCATACTATGTGTAGCAACTATAACTTAATAAGTAACCAGCTTGATATACAAAAACTCTCCTGTTCATACTATGTGTAGCAACTATAACTTAATAAGTAACCAGCTTGATATATTTCATTGTAATGTGAGGCAAATCAAAAATTATTATTATCAGCAGTAATATTCTTGTATTAATCTCTTACTTTTTACTAATGTAGTCCTATTGTGTAAATTGTGTATTATGCCAAGTTTTTTCTATTGTTTCTTTCTATTGTTTGTTTTCTATAGTTTACTTTTGTGCAAATTTTTACTTAGTTCCTGTTCTGTAATTGGAAATCTTTTTTTCTTCATTTAGAGTTGTTATAAAATACCTACTCAATACCTTAATCCCTAATCTTTGAGATCGATCATGTGACGAGTGCTATATATATGATTATCAATGTATTATCTCATATTCCCAGAAATACTTATCATGAATGAAAACATTTAGGTTCGTCAAATCTCTAATCTACAACAAAAAGTGCCATATAGAACGATATGAAATAGAAATTGTGCAACATTTATAAGTATTGATGAAACTCGAGATCATCAATTTCTATAAAATTATCAAACAGATCATTACGAATTCTATTGTTTTATGCTCATACTTTCATGATTTTATTGTATATAATCCATTTGAATATCTTGAATATCAGGCACGTATTCAGCTTTGTTTCATGAGGGGGGGTGGTGTAATTCCTGATGCGGGGCTGACAAAAATCAAAAAAAGCGCCGCAGACGAATTTTGTTGTTGTTTAATGTCATAATGTCAAATGCCTTTGAATTGATAGTTAGGTTTGTGAGCAGGGTATCATAAAGATGGTTAAAAAGGAAACAAAAACCGAATTATAAATGTCAAGTTTACTTCGACCCAAAGAAAATGCTCGAGTGAATTTGGTGAGACAATTTAATGGATAAGTAAATCATAATATTGTTGATGTTTTCTTCAATTTTTCCACTTGAAGAAGCTCCAAATCGCGAAATTTTGACAGATTAAATGCTTATATGTCATGAACACCATCAAAGATTTGTTTACAATTTTGGTTGTCATACTTTCAGACTGTTAAGTTTTCGATTTGGCGCTGGACAAATCAGGGAAAACTTATTTTGTTGCCATAATGACAAAATCACATAGACTCAAGGGATTTTATAGTATAATGATACTCCCCTTAAAGGGGCTCTAGAACATCATCAGAAAGGCAGGAGTACAACGATCACCCTGTAACACGAATCCCGGATTATTCTCGAACATCCCAATGATTTCTACGATATTTTCAATCATATGCCTGTATTTCAATTGTTATACGAAATTGAAGCTAACTTATGCATTCTATAGCAAGAATTTAACCTACTGAACATATTTACATTAAAAATATCTTTAGAAAGTTGGCCTGTTATTTTATTTTATTTTTTTTAAACGTCGTCCGATATAACCCGAGGTTTGGGGTAATATCATCCATTGATCCGAAATCCGAAATATCAACATAATTGATAAACATCAAAATCGAAATAATTGTGCAGCTTCATGTTTAACTTGAAATATCTCGAAAAATAATGACGTTATCGCAAGAAGAAAGATTATGATATTTACGTAGGAAGTATTGGAGAATCGAACAATTGTGATAAAATGGCGATTCCGCCAGTGGCGTAAGAAGGATCAACCAGTGACTTGCCCATGTCGTACGCCTCCGGTAGTAACAAGAAACGTTTATTTAACATAATTTAGTAGTGTATAGTATCTACACTTCTCGCGAAATATGACAATGATACGTCACTTTGTTACTATAAATAATATATATATAATAAAACACCCTGTAACTCAGACAGG